TACATACATACATACATACATAAATACATACATACATACATACATACATACATACATACATACATACATACATACATACATACATACTTACAAACATACACACACACACACACACACACACAAACAGGAACACAATGTACATCATTTGGGAGGTGTCTTTCCCCTATCCTGTCTGAGTGCCAAATAGCGTGTGGGACACACCATGCCAACCAAAAGATTGGGATACTCCACAGAATAGACTTTTGAAGGCATGGATCGAAATCACATCTTCTGTGGACTTTTGAAGATAAGAATCGAAATCCCATCTTCAGAACTGCCAACTTTTCAAAACCACAAAAATTGACTCTACGTGCGCGGCGGGTCAAGATGACGGGCATTAAATGAACCCCCCCCCTTTTCCACCCCTCTCATACATTTTTCTGCTAGAGATAAAATCAGATTATTCCAAGCAAACCTGCAACAGCCAAAGAAATGTGTAGTAAAGACCTCGACAATTGACTTATGGGTTTCGTTCTCATTATACATTATAATCACAATGCTACTTTGAAAATTCATACATTTTCTTCAGCTCTGGCAAGTCCATGAGGAGAAATACTAAAAATCAGAGAATACGTATTTTCCTACACAAACTGTACTGACACACTCAGACCCTCAAAAACATACTAATTGTTATTTATATACTGGTTGACAGCTATATAATATATCTTTTGCGAGCAATAGGCAAGAGCCTATCATAAACCACAGACTGATTCATAGTATAGGTTAGTAACTGATTAATAAATTATGTGTAACTATTTATGTCTCACACCCCTATTCACACAACTGGATCATTTAAGTTAGAAGGCAGGCTGCTTCAATGCAGTCTGTATGGACCAGGAAAACAACCTTCTCGCAGATGTGTATGAGATGTTTGATAAAATATATTCCCAAACAGGAATCAAATCCACATAATATTCTGCATGTGACAGCAATGAACCTAAACGCTGCACCACAGTTTTTAGTATAAGTTTTATACCACTTGCAACACAATAAGGTCATACAAGTGCCGAAGATTGAGGTGTTACAAGATAGTAACAAACACAAAAAAAAGAAAGAGGAGAGATCAGGACGATAAATGTTTGATACGAAAGAAGGAGCAAAAAACATCAGAGCACCCACCAACCACCCACCCATAGGCAGTGGTGCTCTCCCACTAACCATCTGTGAGTTGTGATTACAATTTGTTGTTTGAGTAGTAGTTCACGTTCACGATAATAGCCACATTAAGTCTGGATCTGATTAAGTTAGACAAAAGAGCAGTACACCATAGCAACACCAAAAAATGGATATTTGGGATCGCGCGAAAAAAAAATATGTAGAAAAACGGACAGAAACAATTACAGTAACGACAAAAAGTAGGACCTACCAGCCGCACCTTTCAATCACTAGAAGGAAGAGAATACTGTTTGTTTGAGAAACACATTGACTTTATAAGGACATTTGAAAATAAGAAAAAAAATAAGACAGACAAAACAACAGAGAGAAGGAAGAAAAAAAGTACCACAAGCACCTTTTAATAAACCACAGGAAGAAAAAAAAAGAAAATCTTAAAAGAAAGTATAAAAGGACCAGAACAAAGCACCCATCAACTGCCCTCACATATATGGTAAGAGTGGAGAAAAAAAAAAAAAGCGAAGAAAACGGCAGAAATACTCGCCATCTGCTGAGAGTAAAAACACTTGTAGGACGGGCAAGTGTTGAAGCCACTTGACATCATGTGGGAGGCTTGGCCCGGACATATTGTGAGTACGTCACATAGCCGGTTCCCACTGCGCACGTCCTCACACCCATGAACATATAAACACACACACACACAAACGCACACATGTACACACACACACATTGGTACACACACACACACATTGGTACACACACACACACGTTGGTACACACACACACACACAAACACACCGCAAACATACACCGCCCACCCCCCCCCACCCCTGAACATACTTGCACACATACAGACACATACATGCACTCAAGTACAGACACAAAATACATTCATCATGTTCATACATACACCCACACAATAAAATTAAGTATACACACAAACAAATCATTAGTGTTATAGGCTATTCGACATTTATAAACAAGTTCCAGTACCATACTCTTATGATCACTGAATTCTCTGCTGTGATAACAAATGAATACCTTTCCTATACAAAGAGTAGGCCCTATTTAGTATTAGTTTTATATATTTTAGGACTGATAGATCTACTTTGATTAAGAGTGGATGATATATAAAACGTTCATTATTGTATTTCAATTTATCCACTTACTTTCATTTATCAAATTACAGACATTTTTTCTTTGCTTTCCATATATGCATTATATATAGAGAGAGAATCTACTATGTAAATATATATATATATATACATATATTTATAAGGATTAATTTTAACACTCAATTCCAAAGAGTGTCACTGAATTTAGATGTTGTTGGGTCTCTATGACACTCGGCAAGGTTGAGTAAAATAATCTGATTCATCAACATGAGATCCATTTCTTTGCCTGTCTCTTCACTTTCTAAGTGAGACAAATGTCCAGTTTTTGTATTGAATCACTGCCTAACAATAGTCTTCAAGGAAAAAAAAGGTGGCATTGTCTGAAAGAGAACTATTGACACAATAACGTCATTTCCAGTCTAATTTTAGAACCTAACATAGTTGAAAAGCAGCAACTTTTGAATAAAGAGAGGTGCAAGATTAGCAGAAAAATCTCCACCATAAGGCACTGAAAAGTTAAAACAACATGGATGCTATTCTACGTAACCCTCTGCAAGCTGCAAATGAAACACAACTCTCTGCAAATATCCTATTTCTACTCCATAACTATAATGAGGACGTATGTTTTAGAGACAAGGCTTATAGAAACTCCAAAAATAAAAAACAGTCACACAAAACCTCATTAAACCTCTTTTAAAACCACAAGAATCATCGTTTGTGAGGACAAACCCCTTAGAAATTATGAAATCAAACACAGACTGTGAACACATACATTCATACAGAGTTACTTTAATGTTGACTTGACATAAATTGGAACATTCATGCCCAATCCCCCCACCCACAGCACTGGGATACACTCAGCTGAATAACCAACTTGTAGTGTACAAAGAATTTTAAAAAACTAGTTATCAAAATAATTGTGTCTTTTTAACTTTGTGGCACTTCCTGCACAAGTATCCTCTTCAAATCCATGAAACATACATTGTAAAGGCACAAAATTCCATTTTATAAGAAACTTTCCCAGATGTAAGGGAGAGAAAAGGTGTGGATGGCAGTGTGAAAACACACACACACATGTAATAATATATATAATTTTAATGAGTCTAACAGCCTCCCTGAAAAAAATTTGTTTCATGATTCATTTGGCACTACCTACTTTCAAGCTCAGTCTCTATACAGACACTTCTAGAATAGGGAATGCCATCTGTGACTGTTACACCTGGTGGTTTCTAAAGAAGGAAAAACTCTAAAAAGAAACAAGGCAGAAGGGGTGGGAAGAGTCATCCAAGTGTTCAAAAAATGTTTCTTGTTAAGTAGGCCTAATCTCGAAGCTAAGCAGAAGATATGATCTCAAATTCTACCCTAAAAAGTTAGCCCATGTAGTATCATGTAAGTTATAATGTTGTAAAAGGGAAGAACTTCTGTAACGAGTGACCACTCCAACAAACACAAAGAAGAGACTCCCTAACTCTAACCAAAACCCCCTAACCCTAACCTAACCTTGACCCTAACCCTACCCCTCTACCCTCTATCTACTTTATCTCATTGTGGTCGCTCGTTACGGAAGTCCTGCCTGTAAAAGTAGCCTATCTACTTTTTTGCCCCATGATGTTCAGGTTCTAGACTCTATGGAGGAAACTACAGCGAGGCCTGTGTGTTGTAGCTGAGTCAGGTACAGATGGTGCTGATAGTGATAGTGGTAGTGGAAGAGGAATCTTAAAGGCCAGCTCTGCTCTATTCAGACTCGAGTTTGGTGAGATTTTTTATCTATTAGGATTCGAGTCCGAAAATGGGTTTTATCTATTCGGACTCGGCTTTTAAGTGAGCTATGTGAGTGGTCGTCGGGGGATTTTACGTAAAACCAGAATTAGAACTAGAATTACCTACTAGGACTGTGTAATTCTTGTGTCAAAAGTCAAAAGACTGCACTCTCATTAAATTACCCAATGTCAATGTCTACGCACATGGTAACCCACAACTCCTCAAGGTCTTTACACCAGCACTACAGCATCATCATTACTCCCACCACCATTTGTCTTTCCACATGATATGTTTTTCCATTTTGTTGTGTGTATATAGTATAAAATAGTTGTTCTTCTGTAATTCATTTTTTTTTAAATCATATTTTTTTTTTTACCGACAGCCAGGGCCTGTTCCCAACACCTCTTCTCCCAGCAATTTAAAGCTTTTTTAAAAGCAGCTACATGACATAACAAAGTAATCTCTTTTATATTTCAACTCTTCAACTATGTCTGGACGGCGGCAGCATCCGGTAGTCGAGGTCCGATACCATGGCTGGACGGTACCACAGTCCGATGCGAAGTTATTATTGTATTATGGTACCGGCCGAATATATAATTTAGAGCTACAAGAAGCCTTTAGTTTGAACCGGAAGTCAAAGATAATTTATAATGAATGCTACGTCTAGAAATCTAGATAAATTTAGCTTTATTATTGATCAGTTAGACACGAAACAAGCGGTATGTCAGGTCGCATTTAGATCTAGATCTAGATCTAGATCTATTTCCATAAACATGAGAGAATTACGCGGAAACGTGATTTTAAATTCCATTGTAAAAGAGTTACATTAATTATTAAATGATTGGACAAAATCAGTAGTCAATTGCCAATAGAAGAAATTAGAGAGATGAGAAGGCCATGGTCATCACTGATGATTCATCTAAAAATAGTAGTTAGGTCGGTGACAATAACATAGTAAACTTACCTAAGTCTTCCATGACTCTTTTCTTGTAATCGTCGTCAACAACTGTATCAGCTGGGCCTGAAGTGTGGTCGCTAAATGCGTCGTTAACGTGAACTTGATCAAGTAGGCCTTGGTCTACCTTTTCGTTCTGCTGCACAGCCTCGTTTTGCATTAACTGTAGCTTACTGTTCGCTACTCTTCTAAATTTACGTTCGCGTCAGAAATGTAGCGGTGTGAGTGCAATGTGGGTCACGACTGATAGTCGGCTTCCGAAAGCACTTGACATCTAGATCTAGGCAAATTAGCGGAAATTAGTGAATGGTGCCTCTGCTGTCTCACAGTGCACCACAGAAACTTTGAAACCGGAAGCGATTTGCCAAATGACGTCCAAATAACAAAATAATCTTACTGGTTTCAAAAAAGAAAAGAGTAGCACTGAAATAAAGTATAATCGTTTAATGTTTACTTCGCTTTCGAGTACACATCAATTACTAGGGCAAAAGAAAACCTGACCTTGTGTCCCTTGGATAATTTTGCTATTTAATGCGATTCGACTGTAAGATATGGTACTGTATGATAGAGAGGGAAAATAAAGCTGTTTTCACAGATGAGTACTGTTGTTTGTGCCCCCCCCCCTACTTTCACGATAACCAAACAAGATTTTAAGCTACGTTCGCCTCGAACGAATATTATGTGACCTATTCCGTCGATCTGATCACTATTCTTCACTTGTTAACTTGGAGGTTAGGGAATGCCCAGGGGCCTACTTGTGAGCGAGAGAGGGAGAGAGAGAGG